ATATATTTGAACAAAATGAGGTGCTGGTTATAAATGGTAGTGCTATACATGAATGAAAGTGTAGAGTGCCATTTAATTTATTTATTTATTGTTACCCACAAAACAACCTGGAATGTACCACAGGAATTTGTAGAAACAGACTGAGGCAGTGCAACTCACCCTTACGTTTGTTATAGGCTAAACAACTGAGAATGTTTCTCCAAAATATGAAACAAATCCCATGTCATTTGTAATATTATTACCTCGCTCTGTAATACTGTGGTCAGTTGGGGGGAAAAACATCAAAACGCCAGCTACATTTCACCCAAAAACACACCACTATAAATAAACAGTCATACAGTTGATTTTCATACCAAGGCTCTGAAGGAAAAGCACATACAGTAGCCTATGCATATGATTCAACTTGGTAGAAATTAAATTAAAATCTTCTCATAGTGGGGATAATTTGTTTTTGGTGCTAATGCTGGGGCAATAGAAAGCAAACAGCTGTACCGCAATGATCATAAAACACTACAAACCCACAAACTTTGCGATCTCTGCCTTCTCTCCTTATCTCAACTACATGCTCAGATGTCCCACCAATTTCAAAAAAACTTCCTGAGCCGGTAGTGTCAAACGTCATCGGTGACATCACATTTTCTAAACAATACAGGCTTCGACATGAAGGTTCACTTTCCGCTGTCCAGAGTACTTGACGCACGCTTCGAAGCCTTGGCGTTCAGCCTACCATCGCTATCAATAACAGAACCCACGACTGCTGCCTTTGCTGCCGTAGCTCCTCACACAGCAGCCAGCCTGAAGCAGTTTCTTTGATAACTTTTGGAAATCCCTGTTTGCCTCATGTAGCCCTTTTCACTGTGGCAGTTTCCAAAAGTTATTGGACTATAGTATCTGCCCCATGTACACCAAGAGTTCACCACTGGAATTAATGTAGGCAAATGAGATTCTGCTGACCTCAGCAGTAGCAGGACCAGAGAGGCCTGCAGCACACAGTCTGTTGCTATTTTGTGGGGGTGGGGTCTTTTTCTTTTTAAATTAGCAATTTGCCAGCTCTTGCTTTGACACCCTCACTGATTTCCTGTGGTGATATCACCAACCGACTGCCTTATCTGTACTCTACTGTAGAGGGGAAATTACAGAAGACAGAACATTAATAAACTGTAGATGCTTCCTGAGCCCTGATAAGTTGAACTGCGGGATGTTTATTTTCAGTTTTATTGGAACTGACTGCTACATGATGTAAACAAACACAGCATGATGCAAAAAACCGTGGTAGAGCAAGAGGTTGAGTGTTTGTCCTGGCTTCAGTTATGTTTAATTAAGGTATGGCCTATTTTACTTTGTGTGAATGCACCTGTTCTTTTTGCCTGTGGGGCCGTTAGTGAGCTGTCATTCATAGGTACCAGTCAGGGAAGCTATCTAATGAATCGGTAACATCCTCTACTGGTTTGACTGGTCTGTAGTTCCTTGTGATATTGTGTGCCTTTCTGAGAAAAGTCCTGTGTGGTGGGTGGGAGGGGCAGAGAGCCTTCTGTATTGTTTATTTGAACAAGTGTCATTTGTCCTTATGGGCTTTCAGATGGCCCCTGCTGTGTGGGTGTGTTGCCTAAACCTGTCGCAGAGATGAAATATAAATACATCTTTTTGTTCCAGTAAAGTAAAATTTTGTGTGTGTGTGTGTGTGTGTGTGTGTGTGTGTGTGTGTATAATGTGTAGTTGTACAGCTGTGTTTAAATGCATTCATCCGTCTTTTGTGT